CAAAAAAATAATAGAAAAACAAACATTTTAATAAGAAAAACAAATGGAAAAAATGTTTAATCTACATGGAGGTGTAGAAAAACAAATGGAAAAAATGTTTGGTATGTAGTCTTTCTAAATTTTTTTTTATGATATATCTAAAAATTTATTTTTTAATTAATATTTTTAAAAATTAATTGTTGAATTGAAAGTTTTATTCATATAAATCATATGTGTCAATTTTTAAATTATTTTAATAAGTCTAACTACTTAATTGATTACAAAAAATTTAACACTACTAAATATATATAAATAAATAGAGTTTTTTTTATTGAACTTGGCCCACAGGGTAAGGTTTATATTTTTTTCTTCTAAAAGCAACGGTTCGAGCCGACCCTATAACAAGATGTTCAAAAAAAAAATAGAGTTCTTTTTATTAAAAGGTTATAAATTTTAGATCAATATAAAAATTGACAATCATAATTCACATGAAAAAAACTTTTAATCTAACAATCAATTTTTAAAATATTAATTAAAATATGAAATTTTATACATGTTATCAAAAAAAAAAAATGAAAATGCTGACTCGCTGTATACCATCTTCAAAACAAATAATTTAAGTTTTTGATGCTTAAGGTTGAGTGGTTCGTTGTGGGTCCCATGGTCACGGAAGGACATGGGTGGACAATTTTAGAAGGGTTAGGGAGGAAAGCCGGATCCAAATAAAGGTTAAGGACAAACGTGTCCAATGTCACAAAGGTTGGGGATGGAAAATGGAATTTATCCTTAAAACTATGAGAATTTTCGATGCGGTTAACCCTATATATAATTTGGACACCCTTAACTCTCCGCTTAACACTGCTTTTCCACTTCCGAGTTCCTCTGTTGCCTCCCCATTTATAACTGTCCCACTGCTTCACATTCTCCTGCTTTTTGCCCTCTGCATTTCTTCCCCCAAGACAGCCATAAAAGAAAAAACAAAAGCCAAAATATAAATTCTCTTCCATTCCCCCAAACAAATCTCCACTGGGATTTTGTCCCAAGCTGTTCACTCGTTTTCTCTCTCTAGTTTTTTGTTTTCCCAAAACCCAAATAGAAAAGAACTAAATGATGGATTCTTCTCGAAAGAAGATGGATTTTTGCTATTTCAGAGATATTGTGAAACGTGCTGTCCGCATTCGGAAGCAAAATTGTACGGGGCCGAAGTCTACCCTGGATGCTGACGCGCTGGTGAATAATATTGATAATGCTATTGATAAGGCTCTAAAAGAAGGGTGCGAGACTCAAGAGGTCATGAATTGGATGCATAGAGTGGAGGATCTGGAGTACAATATTCTTTCTGGCTTAAGGAAAGAATTTGAAAACAAAGGCAAGAAGTGTTGCTTCGGGTGGTTTCCTAATCTCAAGTCTCAACTCCAACTCAGCATGGAAGCAGATAAGTATGTCCAAGACGTTGCTGAACTGCTGAAAAAGATTAGGACAACACATGAAGAGGCTCTCTCAAAGACAGAGCAGAAAGGGGTAGCAGCAGCAGTTAAAGATTTCGAGTACTTTGACTCCAGACGCGATGTTTGGGAGGAGATCATGGTGGCACTGCAAAGTCCAAGAATCAGCAGCATTGGAGTGTATGGGAAGGCTGGTGTAGGGAAAACGATGCTGGTTGAAGAAATCAAAAGAAAAGCCAAGCAAATGAAGTTGTTTGACGATGTTGTCATGGCTAAAGTGACAAATAATCCAGACATGAGAAGAATTCAAAATGACATTGCCCATGACTTGGGTCTAGAACTTCCTGATAGAGTTACAGCTACTGACCAAATAAGGTCAAGGCTAACAAACAGGAAGCTTCTTGTCATTTTAGATGACATTTGGGCAAGAATAGATTTGGAGGAAGTTGGAATTCCATTCGGAAACAAGCACAAGCAGACGCGCAAGCAGCCTACAGAGAAAAAGAACGAGGAGATCTCATCAGTAGAAGAAAAAAAAGAGTGCATTCTTTTGATGACATCTAGAGATCGTGATGTTTTATCTCGTGACATGGATGCTCATAAAATTGTTGAAGTTAAGCAATTAGAAGCGAGAGAAGCATGGCAGCTTTTTGAGAAGATAGCAGGTGAGCAAGCTAAAAATCGTATATTGCAGCGTACTGCAGAGAATGAGAAGATAGAAGGTGAGCAGCCTATTGAAGGGCTAGAAGAGATTTTCCAACACTGTAATCGATTGCCCATCGCTATTGCGACACTAGCAAGTACCTTGGAAAATAAGAGTCCCATACAGTGGAGGACTACCATAACAAAGCTTCGTTCTCAAATGTCCTCCAAGCTTGAGGTAAACTTGAATGGGATGTCACCAAGCCTTTGTTCAGCAATCGAGTTAAGATATGGTGATTTGGAAAGCAGCCAACTCCAACAAACTTTATTGCTTTGTGGTCTAATGGGTCATAATGCAGGCATTCAAGACTTGTTGAAGTATGGCATCGGCTTGGAGTTATTCCCAGATGCAGCCAACATTGAGGCAGCACGAGATGAAGCAGTCAATTCGGTGGGAAAACTCAGAAAGACCTTTTTGTTGCTGGATGGTGGCAGCAATATGCATTTTGATATGCATGATCTAATTCAGGAAGTTGCCATACTGATAGCTTCTGGGGAGCATGATGTGTTAGCATTGAGAAAAGATGCAGCTAAGAAAAAGTTAGACCAGGAGGAATTGAAAAAATCCAAATGGATTTATTTATCAAATGTTGATGCTGCTCAGCTTCCATATAGGTTGAAATGTCCACAGCTCACCTTCTTTCACTTAGCTAACAATAATCCTGATTTTGAAATTTCAGACAAATTTTTTAGGGGAGCGGACAGACTCAGAGTCTTGGGTTTGACTGGAATGCATTTTTTGTCGATTCCTTCATCAATTTCACTCCTAGTAAACCTTTGTACCTTGCGTCTAGACCAAAGTGAGTTAGGTACAAACCTAGGTTCTATTATGGGATACCTGAAGAATTTGAAAGTCCTCAGCCTTGTTGGATGTGATATCAAAGAGCTGCCACAGGAAACAAAGGAGCTGGGCATGCTGACGTTGTTAGATTTGAGTGACTGTAGCAAACTTATGGTAATTCCACCAGATGTCTTGAAAAGTTTGTCTCAATTAGAAGAACTGTATCTGGGAAACAGCTTTGACCAATGGGAGGACATCAAGAAGCAAGATAAAAGAAGAAATGCCAGCCTTGATGAGTTGACACAGTTGGAAAACCTAACCAGTTTAGAGGTACGCATTCAGGATATCAATATGATTCCAGATGACTTGTTTTCTATAGAATTGAGTCGATACAAGATTTGCATAGGAGATGTGTGGAATAATTGGGGCAGTCCTTTTGAACACTCGAAAATATTGAAGCTAAAGCATGATGGAAGCATTAGATCTGATAAGGTTGAAAAGCTACCAAACAAGGTAGAGGAACTGCATCTAGAGAAGTTGAATGCTGTCAAGGATGTATTTAATGAGTTACAACAGAAGGGTTTTCAAGAACTAAAGTATCTCCATGTCAAGAATATTGACCTAGAGATTGAACATTTGTTCTTTAACCCAGAGAAGGAGATTTATAATGAAGTTCTTCCCAAATTGGAAGAATTATTTCTTCACAGTTTGAAGGGATTGCAAAAGATATTTCATGGAGAGTTTGAAAAATCATCTTTGGAAAGGTTAAGAATCATTACTGTGACAGGTTGTAATCGGCTGAAAAATTTGTTCCCGTTCTCTGTAGCCAAACAGCTTCACAATCTCCAAAAAATTATAGTGACTGATTGCAGTGACATTGTTGAAATTGTTGATGATGAGGAGGAAGAAGATGCTAATGTTCGTGCTGCTGAAGCAGCTGGTGATGTAATTGAGCTTGCCGCCCAAATTCAGTGCTTGAGGTTACAACGTCTGACGGCGTTCATTAGTTTCAACGAGGAAAAGATTATTAAATTCAGAAGTACGTTACTTTTCAACAAAAAGGTACACATTTAATTTATTTAAATCTTTCTTTTCATTCTTTTTTAAGCCATACCTATATATTTTTTGCAGAATGAAGCTAAGGAAATGTAGAGGAAAAAAATAAGAACTTAAAAGATTGGCCAAAAAAAATAAAAATAAATATTACATACTTTCATTTTCTTATTATTTGTCAAGAAAATGATAAGATGTTTCCTAAAAAGAATGACATGTTGCGCAGCTTGTGGAAGGGGACAGAACATGGAACCTGACACAATTAATAATTGAGGGCTGTGATCAGTTAGAAAATCTATTCTTTGAATCTATTGGTGATTGTCTGGAGAAGCTTGAACACCTTGAAATAAGGGAATGCAAGAAGATAAGAGAAATTATTGTCGGAGAAGGAAGAGAGGGTATGTTTTTGAATTCCTTTAGTAAGTTAAACTTCTTGCTAATAAATGACCTTCAAAATCTCACCAGATATTCTACTCAGGAATATATAGATTCAGATTTCCATCATTGAAGCTATTGGCTATAGATAACTGCCCGGAGTTGAATGGGTTCGTGGTAGACGACCAGGCTGGCGAATGTATCACTAGCACTGCCCTCTTTAATTATAATGTAATTTTCTTCATTTTACTTGCATTTTGAATTTAATTTTTGGTAACTTAATTAATTCTCATTTGGTAACTTAATTAATTATCATTTGTCTTTAATCAACATTTCAGGTTTACTTTCCTACTCTAGAAACGATGTCAATCTCCAACTTGAAAAACTTGAACATCATATGGTGGAAATTCAACCCATATTTCTTTTATGGATTAAACTTCCTGCACATAAAAGATCTTCCGAACCTCATCAGACTCTGCCAAAACCATGTTAGTAAATTTGATGAAATCTTCGAACGCTTCAAATCCTTCGAACACTTGGAACAGTTGACCATAGAGAACTGCCCGCAGCTAAATGGCTTCCTCTTTGATAAGGAGGTAATTTTCTTTGTTTTGCTTGCATTTTGGATTTAATTTTGGGAACTAATTCTCCTTTCTTTTCGATGAACAATACAGTTTGAATTTCCTAAATTAAGAAGAATGACTATCTCCCACTTGGAAAACTTGAATATCATATGGGAAAATCTTGATGAAGATTCCTTTTGCAACTTAAGATCACTGAGAGTTACATATTGTCAGAATCTATCAACCATTTTTCCACGCAACAGCGGTATGCTCAAAAAACAGTCGGAATCACTGCAGGAGTTAGAAATAATTGGTTGTAGTTCAGTAAAACAGGTGTTTGAACTTGGACAGTCAGACATCACAGGACAAGCTGAGCAGGCAGAAGAACATAAGCTGAAATTCGAACAGCTAAAGATCATTACTATAGCTGACTGCCCAAATATCGTTACATTTGCTTCCACCTTCTCAAGAGACCATGAGCAAGGGACATCTGAACCCTTTTTCAGCACTAAGGTCAGTTTCTTTCTGAGGATTTTTCTTTTTTTCTTCAATTTCAAGTTAAATGTCATTGATTTAATGCCATATGCTCAAGAAAATCTCTGAAAAATGATTTAAAATTCAATAGAGTGGAGTGATCATACAATGATAAGGGGAGTAAATTGTTCTAACAATGACGCATAATGTCCTGCGAGATACCTAAAAATTTCAATTCATTTTCATGTCCTTTCTTTGATGTTATTGTTTTATTTTGGCTGAAGAATAAAAGGAAGAAAATGCTCATTAAAGAAGAACTCTCTTTACAGGTTGACTTCCCCAACTTGGAGTGGTTGGTTATGGAGGACTGTCATAGATTCAAATATCTAATGACCCTCTCTACGGTTCAAAGTTTTTCGCAACTCAAAAAGCTTGTGATAAGTGGTTGTAAGAAGATGAAGGAGGTAATAGGGACAGACGAATTTACGGAGGCAATAGGGACAGACGAATTTACGGAGGCAATAGGGACAGACGAATTTACGGAGGTAATAGTGACAGACGAATTAACAGAGGATGTAAGAGTGACAGAAGAACTTACAGAGGAAAACAGGATCTCTTTGTTCCCCAAACTCAATAGTATGGAGCTGGAAGACCTTCCAGAACTCACAAGATTCTGCTCTGAACTACAAAGTCTGCAAGCGACTACATTATTTGTATTTCCTGAAGTAACAGACCTGAAGTTTTCTAAGCTGCCCAAATTGGCGAGTTTCTTACATAAGAATGCTACAGAATGGCCAGAATTAACAAATATTCATGTGCTTGAATGTGACCAAGTGCAGATATTTGCTTTGGAATTCCCATCCGGAGGCAACCAAATTGAAAGCAGGACTCAACAAAAGCCTCTATTTTGGGTCAAAAAGGTATGATCACAGAAAACACTGGGCTTAGATTGGTTCGTGAAAAAAGCTAGAGGATAGTGCAAAAGAATAGAATCTTTTTTTCTTATTTGTTTGTTTTGTTTGACCTTTTAATTTCACATATTTAGAAAATAAGAAATGAATCAACAGGGACTTAGAGGGCAGGAAGATAGTAGCAGATCAAGCACAATTGGTATGCCTGCAGGATCTTTTGTGAAGTTAAGGACTCTGGAAGTATCAAGATGCCACGGACTGGTTACCATATTGGGACACACAATTGCTAATAGATTGGATCAGTTGTCAACAATGAGCATAATTAATTGTTCAAAGTTAAAAGAAATTGTGGCATGTGAGGGCAATGAAGTGAAAGATGAAATTGTTTTCACTCAACTCACATCTTTGCGACTTGCTTTTTTATCCAGACTTCAAAGCTTTTGCTCTGGGAAATGCAACTTTATTTTCCCATCTCTGCGTGAAGTGATTCTAAGTGAGTGTCCAGAAATGAGTACCTTCTGCAAGGGAGTAGTGAAAACAGAGAAACTGCAGAAAGTGAGGCTAACAGAAGAAGATGATGTTGGAATCTGGAAGGACAGGGACCTTAACTCCTCCATACAACATTTGTTCATTAATAAGGTATGCAATTACGCATTGGTTGAATAAGGTTTCCTTAAGCTTAGGTTTTTGTTTATAAGTTTTCTTTACTTATCCTAGTTAGGGCATGATTTTTTTTAACAGGAATAGCTATTTCTTTAGTTGTGTTTTTGAAGGTAATAGGTTTTAATAAGAATTGGTTATCTCATGATCCAATAGACTTACAATAAGTGTTGATTGTGAGTCCTGCGGGGGGAAAGTTATCAGTACAAATATTTGTGTAAGGTAAATGTGGAGTGCTCTGGGTCTTGAAAGAAAGAGGATGTCCACATGGAAGTGTACTTTTTTGTTGGGTAGTTAGGGAGGGAATATAGAGAAAACCATCAAGGCTTAGATGGTTTATGGGGAATCAGTGTGTGGTGAGATTCTTGATGATCTTTAGTATGGTCAATGAGCCTCAAGCAGTTGTTCCCTCTTCGATATAAGAAGAAGGCTTTGGCGGTTGAGATGAGGTTTTGGGACCAAGTGAACTGAGTGTAAGAGTTTATGTATGGAGGAAATCTTTTGGGAGAATTAGAGTCTAAGAGAAGCTCGGCCAAAAAAAAAAAAAAAAAGTCTTAGAGAAGAATTTGGATCCATTTCATGTTTCCAAAATGAGTACCATCATGTTTCTCTCTCCATCACACTTCTTGCAAAT